AGATTTAGGAGGGGGCATTGGGGCCCCAGCAGCATCCTTGCTGGAGATCAGGAATGGAGGGATTGAGAGACCAGGCAGCAGGGCTATGGAGAATGACTGAAGTGGTAGCAAGAGAACAGTGATGAAGTTACTGGTACTGGACTCTCGGCCTTAGGCATGTTTATGCACATCTTGGTTTTGCTGATTTCACCCAACAGGGCAGGTTCAAGGCAGTAATTCCATTTTTCTTTGCCCTTTCCTTCCCCAGGATAGCATGTATTAATTTCAGAGCTTTTTTTGTTGTTTCTTTCTTTAAAGTTTATCTCCTTTCCATTCACCTAGTATTTAAAAGATAAGATTAGATTATTATTAAGATAAAGCTGTGTTTAACCATTACATTACTGATCTGTGGGGTTCATTGCTAAAGCACTTGAGGAAGAGTTAATGAGTGGTGAGGTACACCAGGAAGGAGAAAGACCTTAATGCTTCTGGGTTCTTTGTTGGCACAAAGTAGGGTTTGCAGCTATAGTGAAGGAGGGCTACTTTGATTCATATTTTTATGCTTTCATCAGAGCAGGGAACATTATAGATCTGAAATGTTTAGACACAAAATGAGTCTAGAACTTTTTGCTGGGATAAGGTTGTGAGCACAGGTGGAAGCTTGTATTGTTCAGGGGGCCACCTCAGTCAAGCATTTCTTCTTCTGTTGTATTTGTTGTGTGTTCCAATCTCCTTCTCCTCCTCCTTTTCTTCCTTCTTTTTCTCCCTTCTTGTGTGTCTCTTTCACCCTTTCCTCTTTTCTCCTGTCTCTCTCCCCTCCTCTACTTTTGCCCTTTCTCCCTCTCAGAAGAGAGGAGTGAATCCAAGGCCATTAACTATGGAAAAAAAGGAGGAAAAGGGAACTGGAAAAGTGGCTGCCCGCACAAAAGTGGAAAAAAGAAAGGAACTAGTTCCCTGTTCACCAGACCAGTAGTACCTATTCCCCCAACTATTAGGCTATTCTTGAAGATAAGGAGAGTTGTGAACTAGCTGACAGTATATTATGAGTTAGAATGAGGGAGGGAGGAATTCCAAGGTACAGTGTAGGTAATATAAAAATAAAAGATCAATAGAAATTATTTTTAAGAGAATTTCATCAACAACTTGCATAAAGCCATGCTTATTTAATTTACATATTGATACAAAGCTACAATAACATAGCTAACACCTTAAATTAGAGAGTCAGGATCCAAAAAGATCTTGACAGGTTATAAGCAGTCTAACATTGGGCCAAATCAAGTAAGATAAAATTTAATAGAGATAAATGTCAAGTCTTACTCTTGTTTCAAATATTAAACTTCACAAATAAAAGATGAGAGAAGCAGTTCAGCTGAAAAAAAGTTTAGAGGTTTTGGTGGACTGTCAGCTTGTTGTCAGTAATATGGTAGAGGGGCAGCTAGCTGGTTGATAGAGTACCAGGCCTATGGTCAAAAAGACTCATCTCTCTAGGTTCAAATCTGGCCTCAGACCCTTACTAGCTGTGTGACTCTAGGCAAGTCACTTAATAATCTTATTTGTTTCAGTTTCTTCCTCTGGAAAATGAGCTGGAAAAGAAAATGGCAAACCACTGCAGCCTCTTTGCCAAGAAAACTCCAAATAGGGTCATAAAGAGTCAGACACAACTGAACAACAATATGATAGAGTGGCCAGTAAGGTTCATGGGATAAGAGGTTACCCTGAGAAAACTCTTTCACAAGACTAGAGAAGTGATGGCCTCACTGTTTCTTGTCTTCATCAGACTGCCTTTGAAATACTGTATCTCTAGGTGCCACATTTTAGAAAAGGCATTGATAAGTTTGAAAGTGACCAGAAAATGGTGAAAAGCCTACAAATCATTCAACATGGAAATCACGTGAAAGAATTGGGGTGGTTTAACCTAGAGAAGGGAAGACAGGGAAGGGCCATGAAAGCCTTTTCAAGTATTTGCAGATCTCTAGTGTGGAGAAAGGACTCAATTTGTTATACTAAGCCTCAAAGGTCAGAACTAGGAAGAGGGAATGGTGATTGAGAGTTATGTAGTGAAATTAGTGACCTACTACAAAAGTAAAAATCTGAGCATTTTGTAATTTATTACTTGTTTTTCAAAGAAATAGACTGCTAGAAGATGGGTAATTTGATGTCAGCCTATCCATGGGGAAATGATGGAAAAATATCTGCATATGTAGTTTTGGTTAATAGATCAACATCAGCTAGAAGTGAGGTCTGTAGTACAGTGTCACAGGATTCTGCCCTTAGACTTATTTTATTCATAATACTTTTGCTAATTATTTATGAAAGAATCAGGATTCAAAATGCTAGAATATTAGACCCAATCTAGTAAAATGAGATTTAGTAGGGATAAATGTAAATCTTTGGCTTTAGTCTTTTTAAGAACTGCACAAGGAGTCAGGGAGATTTGACTATATAGTGGTTCACCTGAGAGGGATATAGGGATTTTGAATGGGCCAAACAAGTTCATATGATCTTGGCCTGCTTTAATAGAAATTGGTATTCAGAACAAGAAAGGTGGTAGTCCCACTGGTCTCATCAGATCTGAATTCCTATAATTACAAGTTTCACATTTTAAGATGACACAGGTAAACAGAATGTTGGAATGAGTATAATGGAATCTGGAGAAAGACATAAGAAAGGAGAATATTGTGGTTATCTTCAAATATTAGAAGGATCAACATGTGAAAGACTTCTGCTTATTGACAACTCACAGAGTAGAACTGAGTCCTAAAAATTATAAAGGTTTCAATATAAGGAAAAACTTTATGTTTCAGATAAGAGTTGGACTAGATCTCTGAGTTCTCTTCCAGTTGTGAAATTCTAGTATTTGTATGTTTTTAGACATAATGCATTTAACCACATATTTGCTCTAGTAACCAATTCTCTGTGTCTGTTGTGTGTAAGTAATGTCTGTTTACTTTCAAAGTTAAAGCTGTCTCTGATGACTTACAGAATGACACCAGAGGGAAAAAACAAAGGCTTATTAAAGTAATTAACATGGGCAACTAGGTGGTACAGTGGATAGAGGAGGCCCTGGAGTCAGGAGGACCTGAGTTCAAATGTGAATTCAGACACTTATTAGTTGTGTGACCCTGGGCAAGTCATTTAACCCTGACTGTCTCCAAGAATAAAATAAAATAATTGGTAACAAACAAGAATTTCAAGTTGCTTCTGGTTTTTCTTAATTGGCAAAATAAGCCTACAGTGAAAGTAAGTTGAATATTATTTTTCCTCAGACAAAAACTACACAGATAGAAATCTTCTGAAGTTCTTAGATAATGGCAGGCAAATGAAGTAATTTTGTTTTGCCTTAGCTTTAATTATTTTAACCAATATTTTTCTAACATTTATCGAAATTGCTTTAGTTAGAATGCAATGGTAGTTTCCCTCACTCTTATGTAGCTTACAACGTGATCCTTGATTAGCATTATGTAAAGCCATTTAAAATGGCCTATGCTTTGTTATTTTTATTAAAGCTTCAGAGGTTAATTAAAAATCTTAAAGAGCTATGAAGAGGCTTGTATAGTCCTGGTCATTCTAGCTGCTTGAGACTTGTCTGTTGGTTAATTAGAGTATCACTACATAAAAATATATTTTTCCTTTGCTTAAATTTTTCATTTCACATATGTAAACAGGAACAGTTAAATTATTATACTTACACCATTATCTTCTTTTTAATAGATTTATTATCATCTTTTATTTTTACATCATTTAAATTTTCTTTATATCTCTCCTGAACCCCTTGCCAGAGAAACATTCTTTACAACAAAGAAAAATTTTCAGCAAAATTGATCAGATATTATATGCGATATTCCACCACTTGTCAATTCCCATCTCCTTTGTAAAAGATTTGAGGACACACCATTATTATTATTATTATTGTTTCTTTTTTGGTTAGGCAGTGGGGTTAAGTGACTTGCCCAGGGTCCCACAACTAGTAAGTGTTCTGTGTCTGAGGCTGGATTTGAACTCAGGTCCTCCTGCATCCAAGGCCAGTGCTCTATCCGTTTCACCACCTAGCTGCCCCTGACACACCATTATTTTCAAACTCGACACTGTATGCTTTGTTGGTGGAATTTTAAGTCAAGCCACATTCATAGCTTAGTCAAGGAATTGCTGGGAAGCTTGACAGCAAAAAGCAAGTTATGATACTGAAGGAGGAAGAAGTGATGAACCAAATATTGCACACGTGGTCTTCAAGGAAAAAAATTGTGATTGGGTAATAAGAGATTATGTGTAAAACCACAAATTTATCATATCTATCCCTTATGTTCAATGAAGTACATAATTTGGAAAGTTAGGGGAAAAATACAATTAATCCTTTACTTAGCAGTAGTAAGTCCTAATCAAAGATTGGACTTCAAAAGGAAAATAAAGTCACAGTTTAAAGGTGATTTTTTAAAAAATATGAGTTATTTCTAATTCAAAGATATTGAAGAGTTATTAAGTAGCAGTCCACCAATTAAGTTTACTGGCTTTCTTCTTGGTTTTGATACTGATTTAAATGACCAAAGGTAATTCTTTTAAAATATGTTTCTGGGTCTTTATCGAAGCATACCTGCTTCTTTATGGATATCACTCAATTGGTTTTGGCTTGACATCTCTAAGGAGAAAAGTATATTTAATGTATAGAAAATATGATCATGGTAGGTCACAATGCCTTTCAAGTTTTATCATCTTTAAAGATATTTTTAAAAGAATTTATGACACATTTAAGTGCTTTGTTGATTTCTTTCATTTTGCCTATATGGACACAAATCACAAGACTCCTAGGGAAAATATTTAAACACAGCAGTTTGCTTTCGTACGTGAGGTAAGGTAATATCTTGTGACAATCGTGTGACATTTTATTTTCTATTACTTTAGTACTAGAATAAATGTAATAGGAAGTATTGATAGACAGTAGAAATCATGTAGGAGAGATAATATAAAAAATTTCTTTTTTAAAAGGCAAGAATGAAAACTTTCTCTGAGTATTCATTTTGTCTCAGGATCAAGAAGAGTCAAATGAAGAAAGAACAACACCAGAAACAGGTGACGGAGGCATGGAAGCTAATAATGAACCTGCAGATGAAGAGAGAAAAGTAATACAAAAGAAGGAAGAGGATGTGAAATCAGAGAGCCATGATGGAGCAGAAGTAGAAGGAACCAGTGTCGCCATGGCTGAAACCATTGAAAAGGTATTTTGTAGTAGCTTGGCTATCAAAGGATTTTATTTGGGTTTAGCTTTTAGGTATTCTTGATGTCACTGTAATAACAGAATTTGTTCTTAAGTGGCTACTATTCTAGCAAAGGAAAATAGCCTTTCTCTATAAAGTGGTTTTTTTTTAACCTTTTTAAACTACCAGCTTTTAAAACAAATATAGAGATAAATATCATCCCAAATAACCCAGAGTTGCCTCTGTGAACCTTCTAACCATTGGCCCTAGCTCTCCCCTCTGGTGCCAAGCAGAATAAGTTAATTCCTCTTCTATGTGACAGTCCTTCAAATATTTGAAGACAGCTGTTGTTTCTCCCTGAACTTTTGTCCTTGGTTAACTTCAATTGATCCCCATTTGTTAATTTGTTACTGGTCAAAAACCTCACATTTTAATATCAGCATTTAAGTTAACATTTATAGACATTCCAAAAACTATGTGATTTTTTTTTTCATCATACATCACACAGTCACTTCAGAGGCGGAAGGAACTGGGGGCTTGTAGTTTTCTTTGTTTCATGGGTTGGTCTCATGGCCAAAGAAACCATCAGCAGTTATTTACTACTGGTGCTGAGCTTTTCCTTGTGGCCAGATACATTCTTGGACCATGATTATCAGAAGAGAGAATCAAATAAGAATTAAACTCACAATTGAGAGCAAGACAAAACATATGGGCTTTATGCCTCTCTTTGTAAGCTCTTTCTCAACCTCAGGGGGAGAAAAATGGATCTTCCTAAAGGTAAATATCTATTCATGTCTAGTAGCAGGGCTAACCTTACATTTCAAACAGCTATCAGTGTGATCTGTTTTCAAGGATACTGAAAAATAACCCTGCTTCCCCAAACACCTCTCTTAATGACTTGCTGAAGCCTGAAATTGCACAATTAGAAGCAGGTCCCTGTAAAATAAAAATATTCCTAAGAGAGAACTTGATCATATCCCTACTTGAACAACTGTATTAGGTTCTCTTCTAAAATTTCTCAAAGGGGTGAGCAGAAGACGTCAGGGAAGAAAAAGACCCAAAGGTAGAGAATTGGAGCAGGAAAACAACCCCCACCACTACCTAATAGGCAGCATGGACAAGTGGAAAGAATAACTGGATTTGGGAACAGAAGACCTTAATTCCAGGGCCAGTCTTGCTGTTTGCCATTTATCTTGTGTTAAGTTTATGTCATCTTTTTAAGCTAAACTTATTTGTAAGATGGTGATAATAATATTCAAACTAGTTGTCTCAAAGGGATAGTGCAAAGAAAATGTTTTGCAAATTTAAGGCCATCATCATCATCAACACATGCACCATTTTCTCTGGGGTTGGTCCTGACCAGGGTTTTATGCTATTCCTGAACTTCACAGTACTCAACTTGACACCTTTTTGTTTCTTTCTTCTACAACTAAAACCCCCCCACTAAATTAGCTAGTAAATAATTGCAACACTGTTTTGCTTGACATCTTGTGTCCTTATATCCAGCATGGTATAGTGGAACTGTACTTAGGATGAGAAGATACACAATCAAGTCCCAACTTCAGTACTAATTAAATGTATGACATTTGGAGAATTAACTCCTCTTTCTGGGCCTCAGGTTCTTCTTTGGTAAAATTAGGAGATTGAATTAATCTTCCATTATCTAATTATCTTCATTCAGTCTTCTACCTGTAACATTCTCTGATTCTGAAATCATTAAATTCATAGTAATTATTATTTTTGTTATATAATTTTAATTTTTATTATAATTTTGTTAACGTTATATTATTTTATTATTAGGACTTGTAATACTTACCAGCTCATGCTAAAAGATAGCTTTTCTTAGAACTCATAAATGAGTTTTTAATTTCTTCTAATTCACTAAGTCACAAGATGTATTAAGATTGTGAAACATCACCATCTGACAAATAATATGATAAAGATATATTATTTGTGGCACAGTGAGTAGAGCAGTGAATTTGGATTCAAAGTACATGTCTTTGAATCCCAGTTCTGCCTATTACTGCCTGAGTGACCTTGGGTGAATCACTTCACCTTTCTGGGCCTCATTTGAGGAGGATGGACTAGATGTCCTCTAAGATCCCTTCAGGCTCTCTATCTATGATCTTGTGGACCAGTGTACCTTAATCATGTCCAAACATCTCTGCCAAGGATAATGACACAAAACAAGAATTAGTTTCTAAACATGAAATAGTAATAATAGTATAGTAATAACAAATGATAAATATGTTTGTTGAAACATAGCAGATATTTGATTTTATGATTTACTTTTCATTTGTAGGAAGAAAACGTTAAGCAAGGTGAACAAGCCATTCAGGAATGCAATGAAAGTCAGAAAGGTAAATGTTTTTGCTCTTAAAAATTAAACTGAAAGTTAGACTTTTAAAGAAAGTACATGGTAACATATATTGCAGTTGTACCAGGGTTTTATACTTTTCACATTTACCTACTCACTTAATCCTCGTAACAGGAAGGTAAGATAAGTCATATTTCACAAATGAAAAAAACTGAGGCTCAACTCAGTGATAGAATCCAGGTCTCTTGGCTCCTAATCAGCTGGACTTTCCAATTGCCATAATTTAGAGACACCACATAATGTAATAGGAAAAACATTGGTCTTAAGAATTAAGAAGACCTGAGTTCATATCCCAGTGCTAACTTTTACTACCTGCATGATCCTGAATAAGTCACTTAAAACCCGATCATATGCTTCATCATCTATAAAATGGCAGTAATACTTTGCACCATCTATTTCACAAGGTTATTATAAATGCTAACTGGCTATATTAATGAACTATTTATCATATTATTATTATTAAATAAATCCACTTAAAAATCCAAACTATCATTATTCATTAGTAACCCTATATCTTTATTTTTAGCTGTTTATACAGCCTTATGAGTAACTATTTTTCCATTCACCCAGTAAAAATTAGTTTATGTCTGGGACAAAGACAGTAATGCTAAGTGGATTTCTTTTACTGCCTGGGGGTAAATAAGAATCCTTCAATAGCATACTCAACAAGTGGCCACTTGGATTTTGCTTAAAGGCCTCCTGCTTCCAGAGTATCCCAGTCCACTTTGAATCAGTATGTTTGCTGAGAAGATTTTCTTTACATTACGTCTAAATCTGCCTCTTTCAGCTTACACCAGTTGCTCCTAGTTCTGCCCACTGGAGCCAATCAGAACATGTCGATTCTTTGGCCATATGATGTCACTTTAACTGCTTGAAGACAGTTTTCGTGTCCCCTCACATCTTGAAATCCATCCTGTTCACCTCTCTTGAATTCTCTTTAGCACACTCTTTAGCTGGCCTCCGTAACAGATGATGCTTTCAGCTGACCCTCGTACTCCTCTTATGGCCTGGCCAAGGCAGGGAACGATGAGACTATAATCTGCCTAGTCCTAAAGTTCTTGTGGCAGGTTTGTTTGTTTTTTAGCTACCATTTCACACAGTTTAATTAATTAATCAGTCAGCATTTATTAAGGTTTTACCATATACCTGTCACTCTGCCAAACAGTGGGAATGCAAAAAGAGGCAAAAGACAGTCTCTGACCTAAGGGAGCTTACAATCTAGTGAGGGAGATATTAAAATAAATATATACAAAGCAAGCTACGTACAGAATACATGGGAAATAATTAATGGAGCGAAGGCACCAGAATTAGGAGGGGTTAGGGAAGGCTTCCTGTAGAAGGTAGGGTTTTACTGGGGCTACCAAAGGAGGTAGAAAGAAGTTCTGCATCCCATAGTTCTTTGTACCAGTGAAATCACACATCTAATCTTGATCTCTAGCCTAGATAGTGTGTTGTCACATCACATAGAATGAAAGCTTCTGCAGATCGGTGCCTATTTTATTTTTTCTTCCTATCCCGAAGCTCCTAGTACGATGCCTAATACATAGTAGGTATTTAATAAATGCTTTCTGATTGCTTGATGAATTTCCTCTGGTAAGAATTGAATTCATTAAGAAAATCTACATGCTTTCTTCTTACCCCCTTCTATCTTATGTCTCAGCTCTCAGAATAACTGGATTCTGCCTATTCTATCAATTCCAAGGTTATTCTCCTTGGCAGAGAAAAAGGATTCAGAATGTCTCTTTTCTCTCCTTCACCTCGTTTTGTCATCTTGTCTATGCCCCACCCCAAGAAATTGTCTTCTCCCTTCTTTAAGCCTCTTCCTTTCCCCTTATAACTAAAAAACTGCCTCAGCTCTTCCTAAGCTTTGACAGTCTTGACACTATTCTTTCAGAACTGTGCCATGCTTTTTCCTTCATTCTTTATTACTTGTCCTTGCTTCTTACTTAACTCATTTGTTAATATGTCACTATTTCTATTCTCAGCATGCATCTTCGAGAGTTGAAAAAACATTGAAAAATGCACTTTAAATTGTTTAATGTTTTGAATTAAAAGAAATTGAGGCAGTGAGTCATAAGTACAATTGAAATATCCATATAGGCTCCACCTAGGTAAATTCACTCTTAGTTTAAATGTAAATCAGAACACCTGTAATCTGTTTCTTCTTGAAGTGCAAACAATTCATTCATCAAGGAGATATTTTCTGGTGTTTTGGTTTATATTTAACATTATCTTCTGAAGCAAATTTTGGACATTTGTCTGCTATCTGTATGTTCTTTTATATTGGTGTCCTGACATCATTAAACATTAACCTATTTAAATATACTTAATCATGAATCATAGAGTCTTAAATTTAGCAAAGAATTTAGAGGTCCAATTTTTTATACCATTCAGGAATCCCTTACAACTTCCTGCCTTTCTTCTTGAACATTTAGAGTAACAGGGAGCTTTCTCCCTCACAAGGCACCCAGTTTCATTCTTAAGTCTAAATGTTCGAATGTTTTCTGTTAAACTGAGTCTCCTCATAACTTTTGCCCATTAGCTCTAGCTATCTTTTGGACCTCTATAGAACTAATCTACCACCTTTTCCATATGTCAGCTATTTGAAGGCAGATATAATGTCACACAGGATCCGTAAATCAAAGAATACATATTTATTATCTGTTACCTGTCAGGCTTTGTGCTAGGCTCTGGGGATACAACTTTAATGAATGGAACAATAACCACATGCAGGCAACAAGTCTAAAGGTGTAGGAGTTGGGGGGAGGGGAGCAACAGAGATGTATATAAGTGTATAATAGTAAATATAAAGAGATTAAAAACAAAGTTTTGTTGTTGTTTAGTTGTTTCAGTCATGTCTGACTCTTTATAACCCCATTTGGGGTTTTCATGGCAGAGATACTGAAGTGCTTTGCCATTTTCTTGTCTAGCTCATTTGACAGATGAGGAAACTGAGTCAAATAGGGTTAGTGACTTGCCCAGGGTCACACAGCTAGTAAGTTTCTGAGGCCTGATTTGAACTTAGGTCTTCCTGATGCCAGGTCCAATCCTCTGTCCATTGCACCACCTGGCTGCCCCAGACACAAAGTGGTTAGATTCAAGAGTCTGAGAAGAATGGCCCCAACAGTGGAGGCAGTCTGAAGACTTTGCAGAGAAGGATGTGCAGGAGCCGTGTTTAGAAACAAGAGAAGTAAAGTTGGCAGGACCTGAGCAGTCACATCCAGCCACTTTACAGACAAAGAAACTGAACCCCAAGGAAGTTAAGTGAGTTGTTCAAGGCCCTATGGGGATCTTGGCACAGCAAGGACTCAGACATCACATCTCAGTATTCTCTCTGCTGTACCATTGTCATCTTTTCTCCAGCCTAAATTTTCCCAGTTCTTACAAATTATCTTCTTGAGCATGATTTCAGGTTCTATCATTATTTTGCTGCAGTACCCTCCACACATAGGGGCAGCTGGGTGGCTCAGTGGATAGAGTACCACGCCTGGAGGCAGAAAGACCTATCTTTGTGAGTTCAAATCTGGCTTCATACACTAACTGTGTGACCCTGGGCAAGTCACTTAATCCTGTTTGCCTTAGTTCCCTTGTCTGTAAAATGAGCTGGAGAAGGAAAAGGCAAACCACTCCAGTATCTTTGCCAAGAAAACCAGAAATTGGGTCACAAAGAATTGGACACAACTGAAACAACTGAACAGCAATAAACCTTTCCCCAGGCACACTCTAGTTTGTCACCATCTCATTTATATGTGGTGTTCCAGAACTGAGCACAATTTTCCATCTGTGGGCTCACCAGTGCCAAGTATTAGCAGTTTTTTTGAATCATCTTCTCAAATTGAGATCTTGGTTGTTTTCAATGGAAATAATAAGTTCTTGCTTCTTTTTGGTAATCAGAAATATATTTCTAAAGGTGTAATTCTGTTTTAGGAAACACAAATGAACATATGCCACGCAATTCAGAAGTCCAGGAATATTTTATAGTAGTACCAAATAGATTTCTTAAAAAATCACGAACGGTAAGTGACATTAAATTTCTCTCTTGTTGCAGATAAATGAGTATTGATTTAATATTTCTGGTGTCTTTACTCAGATATTTTCATTCCTTTGATATATGTTTTATGGCCTATGGAGATGTGGAGAAGTCAGGCCATATGTTGTCCTATATTTATGTAGTGTACAGGGCACTGGCCAGTGAGAACCCAGCCTTATGCCATCCTCCATGCAAACTTCAAAGTATTCACAGATATTATGGAGCTGTTTCTGGTTTGCTTATTGTGCAGTATGGAAAGGAGATTTTTCTCTTGCTTTGTGAGCTAGACCAGAGCACATACACAAAAACTTCCACAGGCTCAGCCTTTTCAGCCTTGTTCTCTTTCCTGCCTACATTTGAGTGAAGAGGCAAATAACTGCTCTAAGCCTCTTATCAGATTAATATAACATCTTTTCTCCTTAATATTTTTCCAAAATTGTCATAGAGGTTTTTTTTTATTCTCCCATTCATGTTGATGTAGTTATTTAATAAAAATATTATTGAAAACCAAAATTAAAAATAAGAAATGATTACCTCGGGGTTAAAACTGTAATGGAAAACCCTTAGTGTAGTAACTAGAAAAGGAGGAGCCAGGAGCGACATGGAGAAGGAAGGAAATACAAAGTTGACTATCTGAAAGTATGAAAGCACATCGGGGCCGTGTTACTGAGGCAGTAGCACTAATGGGGACAGGCTTCTTTTGCTTACAGGTTGGTTGCAGTGCTCAAATGAATTGAGGCCACACTTTCAAGGATTACATGAACATTTATAAACATTTATGTAGGAATTACGTTTCACATTGTTTCCTGCAGAGAAAATGGTAGCATTTAGGAGAACAACTACCAGAATGGACCATCAGTTGTCATGTTTTATAGACTTTTTTTAGCTAAACATACTGCTTTTCAGTTATGTAACAGTGTTTTGTATTGTGGGGTACTAAACACAGGAGGAGAAAACTGAACAGATTCCCCTTGATATAGAATTGATTAGAGATGTTTGAATTGTTATGGGGTGAACACCTGAGTGAATTAGAAATAATTATCAACATCAGAAATAGGAAAAATGTATAAAAGAGAAAAATTGTGAGAGGGAAGACACTTCAAAAGTAAGGGAATGAGAAAAAGAAAAAGACCCGAGTAAAACCAGGAAGGCAAACTATAGAGGAAATATTTGAATTTTAGCGGTGTGTTTTTGGTCATGGCTGGAAGTAGGTGACTTATTTATCAAATAAGTAGCTCAAATATACTTTTTAGAAGTGAATTATTTTACCGTAGTTCATGGTGTAGTGGAAAGGACACTAGTGGACTTAGTCCAGGTATAGCCAAACTAGCTTCCTTTCCATCACACATTCTTGTATAGTGCTCTCATTTTTCCATGTTTCTGCTCATATGATCCCATCTCTGGAATGAATGCTTTTTCTATTGAAGTCTTTGCCTGTCTTCAAGGCTTAATTTAGTCAAATCTCATTTTTGCAGCTTAGTACTTGTAGGAACTTAAGTCTCATTTTTCTCATTTGTACAATGAAGGGGTTGAACTCATTGTTCTTTAAGGTCCTTTCCAACTCTAAATCTAGGATCTTATAATTCTAAAACAGATAGATTCTAATCTTGCCTCTTTTATTAACCAGTTTTGTCATCTGAGCCAAGTTGCTTACTCTCTCCGGTCTTCAGTCTGTAAGATGAAAGATTGGACTAGGTGATCCCTAAGGTTCCTTTCATCTCTGAAGCTCTGTGATTCACTGAACTAGTATTGATATTTGTTGTTAATATTTGTATATGGTATTTTTAAATTTTACATGTGTAACTTTGGCTTCCTGACTCCAAAATATTGAATGACATTTTGGGCATGTATTTTTCAATATCATTATAGTCTTAACAAATGAAAATTTTTATAGTCAGAAGGCTTTAAAGATCATCATCAGGGTAGTTATAGGGTGATGAAAGTGTTGGCCTCAGCAGCTCTCGAAGATGGAGTAAGTTATGGAAGGGTTGTAATCTACGTCAATAGAAGAGACCTATAAACAGTGGAGCCATATGAACTCTGAAGGCAGATTGAAGCATCCTTTTTTAACTTTATTTTTCTCCCTTTTCTGTCCATGTTTTCTCTTGCAACACGGCTACTGTGGAAATATGTTTTGCATGACTTCACATGTGTAATTATTATCGAATTGTTTGCCTTCTCAAGGAAGGGAGAGGGGCAGGAGGGAGGGATAGAACTTGGAATTCAGTTTTTAAAAAATGAATGTTAAAAGTTGTTTACATGTAATTGGGAAATATTGACTAAAATAAAAAAAAATATTGAAAAAACGGAGCATGGATTTATACCAGGAATGGCCATCGGAGGCCATCTTGTCCTACTCCCTGTTTTACAGATGATGAAACTGAGGCTCAGTTGTGACTTATCCAAGGTCAGAAGACTAACCAGACCCATAAAATTACACATTTTAAAATATCGAAGTACTTAGTTCTTTGTTCTGACAAAATGGAAATATTTTTATAATCAGAATGTTTTACCAAGTTGTAGAAATTTCTTAGAATCTCCATTATTGATCCTAACACATACGACATTGCCATGAGACTGAGTATAGGAAGATGTTAATATTTTCATTTTTCAATGAAATCTGAGGCAGAAAGAAATTAAATAAATAATACCCTAGGGCCACCCTTGTAAATCAGTGCTAGCAAAAAGGAAAAAGTCTCCTGACTCTCAAGTTCTTTTACCACTTGTTCTAGTACCAAATCAGTCAGTCAAAAGGTAATGAGTGCCAGCTGTGTGCAAGGCATGGTGTTGGACATTCTGGGGAATGCAGAGAATCTCAGGACATGATCACTGTCTGCCAGAACTCTGCCCCCTGTCGGAAATATTGCTGATGGCCAGGCTAGCACCTTGCTTCTTAACGGGCAGCAAAGGACACTTACTCTGTGCCTGGGCATTATCTAGGAATCACCAGATGTTTTGCCTACAGACTAATCAGTGCAATTTATTTGGATATGAATGTTGTTAGCTCTTCAGAAACTACTATCATCTGGATGTTCTACTTTAGTGAGCTATTTAATAAAACAGAAAACTTTTCTTTTTTTAGGATTCATTCTTTAAACTCAAGAGTTTTACAACAAAACAGGGTAGAGCAACATCAGCCGAGTCCTTGTCTCATTTATTTCAGGTGGATCTAGAGTTAACATTTTAATTACATTATGATAGGGTATAAAGGAATGAAATTAATTCACTAAGAATCATGCCCCTTGCTTTTTTGATGGTCTCATTTTTTCCAGCAATATACACCTTTTTCTCATCTTGTCCATTGAAGCCCATCACAGACAGTTCAAGTACTTATAACTAGTTTTATTTTACTCAATATGGCACAGGTTCAGAGTACTAAACATTCCCTTCCAGCTGTCCCCTATCATAACTTCCCATTTAGTTTTAGCAGATTGTCAGAACAATGTAATCAACACTGTGACAAGCCAGAAAAAAAAAAAAAAAAAAAGCTAACTCAGGCTTCGATTGCATTAATAGATTTTTCTCTTGGTCTTTACCCTTGGGGTTACTATTATTCATGTTAGTCAAGCAACCACTCTCTAATCCCAGGTTTAACTAATTACATTACATCCACTTCTATTTGACTGTTTGGGGCCCCAGGGTCACCTGCACTTTGGCTTTTGATTGAAATTTCTGTCAGCTCTGACCAGTTACCATCCTTAAGTACAGAAACCAGCTCTTCCCAAATATCCCCAACCACTGTTCCCTAGAAATACTGTTTTACTCCTGTATCCCATGCTTTTTGACCCAACTTATAGGCTATTCTTCCCACTCACTAATCATCTTGGATATAATTTATCCATATTTTAAAAAAATTTCCCCTTCTATGTCAGGCTACCCTTTTCTAAAAAGCCACTTTAGTTATTCCCAGTTCTAACTCTGGCATCTTCAGCACTTTGCCCCCAGCCTAAAATGAAAGTGTCCCTTTTTCTCAAGTTTGGGTTGTTGGATCCCCTTTACAGTAACCAGTATACTTAAGTACTCACATCTAACTCCCTGTGTTAACATTTTAACACAGAAACCTTAACCTTACCCTTCTGTTCACTATCACTTTTTGTTTAGGGAGGCATTTTATTTGTTATTTTGATTAAGGAGTAAGTCCATGATTGTTTATTACCAAATAAGCAATTATTTTATGACTGTATATTATGTTTATATTTAAGTTGATGTTCTTATTATTCATATATATGTTTTACATACATTAATGTTTCCTATGCTTCTAAAACCAAAAACTACAGACAGTGATTCCTTATGATAATGTTGTAACCATTCAAAATATCTGCAAATTATTTGGAGAATAAATGGAGACATGAAGTGCTTTGGGATAGAATTGAGCCATAAGTCACATGTTTATTACATTTAGAGAAGACATGAAGTTGAAAAGGATGAAAGAATTTAATCCAAAAGATCTTGATAGGCTAGAACAATTAATTGGATCCAGTATAATAAGTTGGAATGTAATTGAGATGGATGTAAAATCCCATGCCATTTTAAAATGTAGGTTCAAAAAATAAGCCATATGATTATAATATGAAAGAAGACATGGTTAGACAACAGTTCAAATGAAAAAAAAAAACCCCAAAAAATCACATTTTAATGGACTGTGAGTTCAGTACACTCAACAGTGTGACATGATAACCAGAAAAGTTCATAGAAACTTAGGAAACATCAGTAGAAATATATTCTGTAGAATAAGGGAGACAGTTGACCCTCTGAATGCCACCATAGTCCATATACTTCTGGCATTCTCTGTTGAGCAGGCAGTGTGTGAGAAAGGTTTTAAATTTCTGGTTCACAGATTAAAATGCAGAAATGTGATGAACTCTTGGTCAGGAATGAAGGACATTTAACAGTGACTGGTAAAATACATACATACATACACACACACACACACATATATATATACATATATATATATGTGTGTGTGTGTGTGTATATGTATTTTCCTAGAATCTTACAGATATAATCAAAAGAAAGTGGGAAGGAAAAAACTTTCTATATTTATCCACCAAGCTATATACCATGGAGAATAGCTATACTTAGGAAGAGGAGCAGTAGAAAAGCTCAGAAATTCAAAATCCAAGAAAAAAGGCATTGATAAAATTTATGACCTCTGATGTCTATTTATAAATGTACAAAATGTGGGTAATAAATAAGGGAAACTAGTAATCATAAATCAGGAAAAAAAATTTATCTCGCAAATATCACTGAGATGTGGAATGGACACATTATTGGAATATGGACTTGAAGTATCTTATGCAAGAATAGGATAGGTAAAAGAGAGGAGTGGGAAGTAGTGGTACCATCTAGTAAGAAAATGTACTTACTGTATTCGAGGAAATTCAGGGATCATAACAGGGAAGCATGATGAAGAACATTTGAGTAAAGATCAGTGGAAGCAGAAACAGATACAATATTGTTATCAGAGTACCACTTGTACAAAAAGGAATCAGGGAAGAAGTTTGGGAAACTGATCACAAGCCTGGCTTGAAGACATGGTATAGTAATAACAGGGGAGACTTCAGTTATCCAGACATCTGATAGAGTTCTCTCTCTTGCCGAAAGAGGATGTGTTAATAATTTTTGGTTTGTCTTAATAATAATCTTATATTTCAAAAAATGGAAGAAACAATTACTGAAACTTTCATCCTGCTTCTCACCAGAAAGGAAAAGATGGTTGATTGCTGAATTAGAAATTATTGGAATCATATTAGGATTTGTAATAGGGAAGGAGAGAAAATGGGGCATTGTCTGATATGATTTGGGGGGAACAGATATCAGAGGGTTTGGGGAAGATATCAGTAGTTTCACATAGACTAAAACTCTTTAAGGGCAGTCTGAGATCACAAAAAGAAACGATTGCGGTGAAGAGGAAATTGTCTAAAGAAGCTGATCATGGAACAATGTAGATTTAAAATAGACACATACAAAAGATCCCAGAAGCAGGAGCAGATGAAGCAATATAAATACAAAAGCATATTGTGGTCCTATAAAGATAGTGTCAAGAACTCTAAAGTTCAGAACAAGGTGAGGAAATGCTGAGGATAACAAAAAGGGGTGATTTTTAAAAGGTATGTGGAGAAACGAAAAGCACTGATCAGGATGGGTGGATGAATGACAATACTGTCATGGAGAGAAGACAGAAATACCCAACTCTTAGTTTGTTTCTCTTTTTTTCCCCCAAGAAAATGACCTTTGAACTTTAAAGAAAAGAACACAAATGCCTAATATGGAGTTAAAATCCAGGATAGACCATCTAGCTATCTTAGATGAATTCTAGTCATCAAATCTAGACTAACACCATCCCAGGGTATTATATTTCAGATGTTAATTTTAAAATTAAATCTAAAACTCCAGGTATTTCCAGAACTGGGTAAAGTTCGGGGTATATAAAAGTCATGCCCTGGGACTTGATTTTACTAGTTTTAGATCGAATTGAACATTATCAGATAAGAAGCAGAAACGAATGATGCTTCCTGCTGTAGGAACACACTCATAATCTTTGTGCTCTAAAGATGTGATGTAATAGTTATGATACCTAATGGAAAGATATTAGCATCTGTATGTCATTAAGTGTAAGTCTTTTGTTCTGTCAATTCTTTCAAAAAGTCTGTCAATTGCGGTTTTTTTTAGGTTTCTCTTTTTAAGAGGAAGTCAGTGACAAGTCAAAAAAATGTGCAGAGTATTCTTGAAGCAAAGCCTACTGTTGAGCCACTCGTAGTTGTAGAAGCAAGACCAATAGGAGATCAAGCAAATGGGAAAGAGAGAAAAGATGAAAACCAAAACCACACAGGGCAAAACCATATGGAACCTTCATCAGCTAATCAGGAGAGAAAGTCAAAGTCATGTACAATTCTATAAATACATATTTATTGTTTGTGGTCTCCAAGCACATGTTGCAATTTATACTTGAAAATAATTATGGCTTCTGAAAGTTGCTGATAATGAACTTTGTACTGTAAGTTAATTATTTGTTTTCTTGGGGTTTGGACATTGTGACCATGGTATTGGTATTTATTTCTACTGATAATATTAGTATAAGAAGTACATTCTGAAAATCTTAACTAAAGTGTTGTGGCCTTAATTGTTCAGTGTTGTAATAAAAATATATTTTTTTATGTGAAAAATGAATTCAGACATTTAATAATTTCTACTAAGCAGTTTTTACGATTCTTTAAAACTATTTCAAACTCATGAAAGTGTATCTATTTGTAACTTTTTTGCATTGTTTGAAAAACACAAGCAAAATTGTTTTCAGTGAGTACATTTCAATAAATCATCTCTGGTGTGTTACACTCTTAGGAATGATAATAGGATTAAAGTTGAGGGGCACTTGCAGCTATTAGTTGAAAAAATCAGGACAAATTTAAATTTGTTAACAACACTGTAATTTTATAAATTGTCACTTATAAGTGCTGATCGAAGCAAAATTTATTTACCAGGGTAAATAAATCAATACACAGCTGCTGATGTAAATAACTCAGTTTTATAGAAAAACATTGTTAATAGTATAGCTTCATTATTTACATTTCCTTTTTTTTTGAGCCATTGGTTTGAAATTTTTCCATTTGATAAGACCAAGTCACCCAACTTTGAATTTTTAGACTTGCCCTTTTGAGATAGTCAAACAAGACAGTGAGGAGGCTAGATCTGAACATTTTGACATTCTCTAAGATAGATAGTGGATACCATGACCAAATAAATCACATGGCAATCTGCATCTATCATTGAGGTACGAAATGCTAAGAATGTCCATGATAATATAGGCACCTTCTTATAAGAAAGGTTCTACTTATGTCATTGCCCTCCACAGAAAAGACTATGCAATAGGCTCTGTACATTATGCATATGCAATATGCATAAAGACTATGCAGTAGGCTCTGTACATAACCCCTTTATGATAGAATATTTTGTACTTATATTGAAGTCACTGTCACTGATTAAAGCAGTGGAAAAGATATTCTATTTAACAAATTCTTGCTCAAGTCATATAGATAGTACTACAGATCACGTTAGGATTTGAGATGCAATGACTACCTCCCATTGTCCCAAATTTAGACTTACTTGAAGATAACCATAATTGCTAGAAGATAGTTCTAAAGGCATTTGCCCTGAGCCAAAGCATTCCTCAGAGCCATAATTTCTAGGACTCATCAAAATAAAAGCCCCCTTTTCTTCCTCCCCCCCTCTAATTCCTGCCCTGGTTGGGTAGGGGAACCCATTAGCAAGTATTCTACCTCTATACCATCCCTTCCAGGCGATGTGCAGACCTCATACAAAGTGGCAAAGCACTTCTGTTTCCCTGTAGACAACACCTCTGATACTATCACACCACCTTCCCCAATAAGGAAACATTGCAAAGTTCAGGGTAATTTATTTTATTTCTTTAGGCTGAAAAAATCTTGGCAGCAGGCCCTGCCTGCTGTCTTTTTTTCCTTCCATTCCCATTCAGATAATAGTATCATGAACACAGATATATAATAGCTCAGTGGTTCCTCCAAGGAGATGTTATTTGGACCCAGGCTGGTTCTTGTTTACCTCCCCACCACAGAACATAACATGAAAATTTTGTGATAGTCATCTGTTCCCTTGAGGAGAATTCCAATTTTATTAATGGTAAATCAGTGCAATTCCTGGTGACTTGGTTGTTGCAAATACAGCATTACTATTACAAAAGTGTTTATATACTCTCTCTTTCTCCTCTCTCTCTCATACACCCCTTCCCCACACACACACACACACACAGAGCGAGATTCCAATACAAGAAAAGGTCAGAGTGCCAAGAAATGCCAGTCATTTTGGTTGAAAACCTTTCCCTTTATTAGGAAAAGGGATTGGTAAGAGACTAGGGAAAGGATTAAGTTAAAGATTTTGGTAAAAGAGGTCATAAGGCATATGGTTATCAAGTAGGTAAATAATGTAGCTTTATCAGAGGAAGAGGTACATTTAAATGCCTTTCTCAAGTGTGCTTAGTAGTCGAGTGTAATGAAAGCCAAGGCTACCTCCATTGTAGGAGTGCTAATGGACTATTTGATAATAACAGCCTGAAGAAGATTGTATTTCCCTTTAGACTCTGAAGTATGCTCGTACTGTATTTGTCATTTGCATTTCCTTGAGTATCTGACCTCTAAAAGAAGTTAACTTCAGGAAAATATAGAGCGATAAAAAATGGACTCTTATTCTAGACTGTTACCTAGAGTTTTAGAACCATTTTGAATATAACTTAAACTTCCAATTAGATAAAAAGGAGACATTTGAACACAAAACTTTTAGAGAAACCAACTTGTGTTTGCAATTTTTCTTTTTTTTTCAATAAATGAGGAAGATCATTGTTAGAATTAATCCAACAGAATTGTCAAATCCTACTGATTTCAATAATAAAAGGGCTTGCATTTATTAATTCTTTCAAAGTTTAAAGACTCATTTTATGCCTAAAATTCCTGATCTTTACAGCTTATCCTCTGATTGGTCTTTCTCCTCTAGTAACATTACTCTAAACTTTCCATCATTCAATATTTTGTTAGTATGTGACCTCATTGGTGCAGATACTCCATGAAGTTGTATAGCATACACATCCTGTGTTTCTCTTATTCATGTCATCCTGTAGTAGATCACTGAAAAAGAGATCTGCTACTTCTCTTTTTAAAGGTCATTAAAAGCATTAATGTTATCATGGATCACATTTTAGATATATTTTATTTATGTATTTATATTATTTATATTTTAGATATATTTTATGTATTTATATTATTTTTATATCTATATATTTAAAATGTAGATATAGAATTTAAATAATTTAAATATATATTTATATGTAAATATATAAAATATATAGTTAATGTATTGTATTAATTAATTTAAATATAATACATATTTAAATATATTTATTATTTGTTTATATATTTCATTTAGGATATTTTTGCATGGGATGTTTTGCAAGTTTTCTAAGCAATCTTATGTCCACATAAAAGTATTTGATGAAAACAACAAAGGGAAAAAAGAACTAGTTAGCACTAGAGGCTTTAACATATGAGGGAAGGAAATGTGCGCTCGTGAAAGAATACTTCAATCTTAAAGGTGTAGATTCATCAGCAAAGTAATTATAGTAGTTTGCAATGTTAGTCCTCTTGGACTAACTAAAACATTACAGTATTCTGAAGAGATTCTCATTGAGTCTTGGATCCTTAAATGATATTTTATAAATGTTCCTGTAATGCTGAGATTGCACTCCTGGTACTTGCCTTAAAACAAACCAAAAAACTCCATCATTCACCCCATTGCTGCAGTGCAAGAATGTTGATAGAACTGTTGTCCTTAACTTCTTTTAAGTGTCCCAGAAACCATGGGTACTTAGTAAATGTTAAATGTGGAAATTGCTTCTCATTTTGAGTTTATTATTTGAACAGATTATTTTGATGCTTTTTTTTCTTTCAAATTATTATAAACATGAAATTCAGAATTGAGTATTTTCATACTATCAATAGCAGCCCAATTATCTTGTCCATGGGTCAGAGTTTGGGCTGTTTAAGCTATACATAAGTGGAATATAGTTGATCTGCCTCACTAGAGAAGGAATGCACATTTTTCTCCTCCCAGCTTCTAAAGAGCTTCCTAAAGCTTCTGAAACTTCTATGAAAGAGAGATAATTGAGCTGCCTGGTTTTGGGGGGTTTTGTTTTATTTAACCTTGAATAGGGTTAGCAGCAGACAGGTGAAACTAGAACTACCATGAAAGTCCCTAAGAACTGTTCCTAGTTAGAGATGTCCTTCTGGGTCTTTGTAATTATTTTGAGGCAGAGCTTGGCTTATATACCTTTGTTCATTCTTCAGTAAGAATTAAAAGTTTCCTATCCATTTTGAGTTGGTGATGCTACCAAAATTGAAAGTTTTCAATCTTGCAAATTTCTTTAGGTGCAGGCATACAGCTTCAAAATAGTTGTACAAGTGTATATAACAATATGTAATAAGGGTGTTTAATGTAAATTCTTGGATACTTAGCACAGAAAAAAGAAGAAGAATGATATATCTTTCTTTTTTCTGAGGTCTAGAGAATGGATGAATGAAAAGGAAGTTAAGACTTATCAAGACATTCAAAGTCTGTATTTCAGGAAATCTAAATCCTAATTGATAAAAGATTATGTTTGAACTATTAATAAGACTTTAAACAAGAAATTACTGACCTGGCAAAGCAATTTTAGATGAGATTATGGTAAATAAAAAGGTCTTGCATCTTATCTCAATTGCAGAATCTGCCTTTATTTGATCTTAAATTTAAACTGATTAAATAGTTGAAAACTTTTCCAGAGAATTGATAATTTTACTTAATGTCATTTGAGTTTTAATGTCACAGACAATTATATACTGAAGTTGAAAGATCAAAATGGGAAGAATAGACCAATATGAGAAAATAAACACAATCTTTCTGAAAGAATCTTTAAAATTTTGAGGGATGTGTTACAGCTGGTTCATGTCAAAGGATAAAGAGAAAAACACATTTCTAGTCCAGTAGGAACTTTAATATAAGTTACTCTAACAATTATGATAGCTAAATTAAAATTTACTTTAGCACAGAAAGTTAAGGGAATCTTTTCTCAAACTTTAGATGCCCTTTATTTCTGAATAGCCTTCACTTCTTTTTTGGTGTGAAATTTATGTGATTGTATTACTATGGATTTCTAGTATTTTAAGTAATATTAAGAGCAAATGAAATAATTGAGCGTAAGAGTTGTGTAAGGCATGATAATTTAGGAGTAGTTTTTAATTAAACAACAAAAAAAAGCTTAGCATCTTGCCTAATATTTGTATCAGTTGAGGAAAAAAAAACCTGTTTACATCTCCCAAAATGTATTTGGAATTTCTAATAAGCCCTCTAACCAACTGATTTAGCCATTTTTTTTTTTTACTTTGGAAATGTCAGATATCTTACAGGGCAGCTAGATGGCACAGTGAATAGAGCACTGGGTCTGGAGTTGGGAAGACTCATCTTCCCGAGTTCAAATGTAGCCTCAGACACTTTAGCTGTGTGACCTTAGGCAAGTCACTTAACCCCTGTTTGCCTTGGTTTCCTCCTCTGTCAGATGAGCTGGAGAAGGAAATGGCAAAACCACTCCAGTATCTTTGCCAAGAAAACCCCAAATGGGATCAGTCACAGAGAGTCAGACATGACTGAAATGACTGAACAGAAACAACTAGATATCTCACAGAGATTTTTCTTTGTTTTCTGGTAAGCCAATGAACCTTCACAAAAGTCCTCCTTCAGTGCATTATCATGACATGGTTACCCTGAGTTCTTAGGTTTTCAAAGTCTGTTTCAGCAGAGTATAAGGTATGTCAAATTTTACCATACTGGAAAAACTTGGAATATGGTCCTAATAAGAGACTGTGTCTACTAACTAAGTACACAGAGACTCAGCGCTACCCTGTTTTCTAGTCTATAAGCCTTTGGCCTCTCTCATGCCTTACTCCTGAACCATGTTTTCCAATATATATTTCCTCACCTTACAGGGAAGCAACTGTGTATCATACTAAATATGCTTATTTAACTTGCATATATTGCAATGACAATGAAAAATATATTGGAAAACATGACTGAGGAGTGTTTTAATCTTGAGTTGAGCTGGCAGCAGTCAGCTGAAACTAGAACTACCATGAAAGTCCCTAAGAACTGTTCCTAGTTAGAGATGTCCTTCTGGTTCTTCATATCAGTAATTTTGAGGCAGAGCTTGGCTTATATGCTTTTGTTCATTCTTTAGTAAGAATTAAAAGACTCAATAGATGACACAGATACAAGAGCCTCACACCTATATATCATGAGTATTTTCTTTGAGAAAAAAAATAGGATAGTACTTGACGTGATAAGCCTTAAGTAATGTCAACAAAAAAAATGAACTTGATTAAAAACAGTAAATGACATTGAAGTGAGAATTTTTGTTGAATCAGTTATCTGTGTATAGTCATACCACAAATTTATTGGATTAAAATTAACATAAAGCCAGAAGAATAAAAAATTAGAAAAAATGATACGCACAACTAAAATAAGTTTCTCCTACTAAAAAATGGAAAATGGGTAAAGGAAAGGACATTGACCTATTTTCTAGCAATTTTATATGGAAGTTTAACTGATGCAAATCTATTATAATAAGAAAAGATTATATGAAAAGAAGTAAAAGGTAAAAAGAATGGAAAAGTTGGAATGGGCCAGGTTGTGAAGGGCTTTAAAAGCCAAACAAGATTTTACACCTGATCGTGGAGGTAATACAGAGATGCTGGAGTTTATTGACTAGGGGGAATGACATGGTTAGACCTGTGGTTTCAGGAAGATCACATTGGCACCTGAGTGGAAGATAGACTGGAGTGGAGAGAGGCAAGACTGGGAGACCAACCAGTAGGTTTTTGCAATAGTCCAGGCATGAGGGCCTGCACCAGGTAGCAACTGTGAGTGAAGAGAAAGAGACCTATTGGAGATGTGAAGGTGGAAATGACAAGGCATCCCGAGAGACTGGATATGTGGAGTACGCACCAGTGAGGAGTAGAGGACATTGAGGCTGTGACCCTGGGTGACAGGGAGGATGATGGTGCACATGACAGCAATGGTCCTAGATAGCCTTGTAGAGCAAATGGAAAATGGTGCTGAAGAAACTCAAAATGGGAGCATTTTGGACTTGACCAAGCACATACAGAGAATGTCAGTGCTGGAGGTCAAACAGTTTTGAGGTTGCTGACTGATTGATTCCGTGAAGGTCCCTGAAGCAAGGAGAACATGCAAAAGGCATTACAGCCATAAAAATAGTGACTGAGTGAACATCATTAACCAAGAACTCATACACCTCCTTTCTCAACTACATAAAAATTATTATGAGAGTAGTTAGGACGTGCATTGAAGCAATCCTTGATGGGGCGACTAAAAAGGAACAGAGGTTCTTATAAATGATACCCTATAATATCTTTATCATCACACCATCAACTGAAAGGTGTACAGAATTCAAAATACAATTTTGCAACACTTGTTGAATATAAAATAACACTTATTTTGGTAGAGTGAAATACCACCTCAAAGGCTACTTTGGCGAGGTGTCTCATATATATCATCAAAATTATACTAGATTCCTCAAAGTATGTAACAAATAACCTCAATGACCCTCTGATCATTGATATCAACTAAAGCATAAAGGGGAAAATGGATATTTGCCAGAGGTGTTCCCCTTGTCCTGGAGGAGTTCCGGTGCAGAGTCCAAATTGAAAAGGCATTCCTTATAAGTGATGAGTTTCTCCAGATCCTCTTGATGAGGATGATGCAGTTTTTGTCAAGTCCCAGAACTTTGAAATCTACTAATTTAGACGTATAATCACTCCAAAATTTGGCCTTACTAGGCACACAGAAAAAAAAAAATGGATCAAGTACCTTTTATCTAGATTAGGAGGCCCTGTAGCCTGAACTTCTTCCCTCCATTACCTTTCCCCATCGTTCCTCCACCAACATAAGTTAGAGGTGATTAAGCTATCTGACTCAAGTCAACTTCCGGCAGACATGAGGTCCTTGCCTCTAGGAGCCAGTGTACTCCCGTTCTTCAGATAACCTGACCCCTCATTCTAAGGCCAAGGCAGCAGGTACCTTACCTCCAGGACTAGACCCTCTAACAACTGGTCTTCACCTAAAGGATCTAGGTTAGGAC